CAATGATCCCTGCCTACTTGGCAGAGTTGAGTGTCCAAATGCTCCGAGTTTAGAATGTACATTTTCCTAGTATCTTAGTGAAGCATGAGACTTGTAATTGCGTATTAACTCATTTGACTCATTTTCGAAAAACCCGACGGCCTTTGTAAGGCTAGAAACCACATCGGAAAGGGAAAGGATCTAGTACAGCCAACTTGGGCCAATTTACCCGCCCAATCTACCACAATGGATGGAATCTACCAATTGTGACACGCTAAGCTTGCTGCCCAGGCAGTATTTCCTAAGCAATCAATCTACAATCCACCAGGTGACTACCAGATACACTTAATTAGTATGGGATTCTGGTTAATTCAAAGAATTCATTTAACCCAAGTGTCAATAGACTCACGACTCCCGGTGGAGGCTCCGCAGTTCAGTTGGCTAGTGTGGGTGTCAGTTAGAATCCCGCCGAGTCCGCCGAATTTTTCATGAGTGGGTCAGCTGAATTATTAAAATCTTCGAATTTCCCTAATAAGTGCAAAGTCGTTTAAAAATACAACTTGGGGCAGCCGACTATTCGAAGCGATGGTTTTAAATCTCTGACAGGTAGAGAACAGTAGATCGGTTGTAAGCTACTAGTGTATTTGCTTGCTGGAGACAAACATACTTAAATGAGGAAGCGCCATCTTCAATGGAATAAATCAAAACAACACGCGAAGGTTGCTAGTAAGCTGAAAATATTTCCAATTAATAGCCACATACTAGGAAAGAGGGGGTAGAGTAAGTGAGATGATATCAATGGGTAAATGAATCACCAGCTCATCTAAAAATGCATCTGTTGCGCTAGAAGAGAGACAGCTTGGTTCGTGTTTTTTTCTTATAGAAGACGCTATGTCAAAAGTGCGGTAAATAATATGTAAAATATCGAAGTCTAAGCACAAACTCGAGAGATCGTTAGGTATCCCAGCTACGACACAGAGGTTAGTTTGTTTCAATCTTCGTTCTTATGCAATAATCTGGTTGATGTGCACATGCATAAAGATTAAAAAATAACAATACTACGAATGAGAAATACTGTACAGAAAACTACCTGTGACCGATGAGCACGATAGGTGGTGCCTCCGTGGGGAACATGGCAAATATTATTTTGATTATATCCGATGTAAGCGTCTCAATCGACAAGTCCGATTCATCGTGACAGTGGGTGTCACCTAGATCGAGCTCATAAAAAGCAAAGATCTAAGTACCGTGACCACGCATGTCAACTGCCAGACATTGGCAACGGACTTCCCGGGTCATTGCGCTCTGGCAAGTAAATGTGTTAAACTTAAACTTACGCTTAACAGAGCCCATGACAAAGCTGAAAATCCACCACCATGAATGAAGAATAGCAAGGGACCTTCAACCCCACGGCGATATATTCTAAAAGTCTGCGAAATACAGACTAAATGCCGGCTTCTTTTACCCCAGATTCTATTTCGATATCGTCACGGATGTTGAAGTACTTTGACCATTTGCATGGCTGATAAGATGCGGACTTGTGATGGTTAGACAAGTTACTAAAAATAAATGTCAAACAGAGAAGCTTTATCCAACCTGTCAAACCCTTTTAACCTAGGAGCGAACTGCCTTCTAAGCAGGTCAGACATTTTGAGGCGGTGCGCTACGCTACGGAGAACTAAAACGATTGCT